ACAGAATTTTAATAAGGGTGGTTCACAGCCCAAAATATAAAATATGTTATAGGAAAGGAGAAAGAATCACAGGTGCAGGAAACCCAGTAGAAGAGATTGAAACACTTGTAGCTGGCAGAGTCAGCAAATGATCAAAGAAAAGTGGGGATTTTGGTACAAGGAGCATCCAGCCAGGCTTTCACTTTCAAACATTTCTGAGTAATGACTTCATTCTAAGACATTATAATCATCAAAGTACAAAATGATTAAATTAAACGGTTTCTGTTTGAAAAACAAGGAGGCAAACTTAGGGGAAATAAATGAAAACTTTAATGTGTTTGCTAGTTTATAAAGTAAAGGGTATGCAAACATTAATGTCCTAGAATATCTGCCGTGAAAACCCAGCATCACATAAAGACATAGGATGTCAGAAGTCGAAGTCACTGTGGTGGAGTCTGAACTGAGTCATTCCTAAAGAGTCATTCCTGACTATCAGATTTTCAAAGGCTGTAAATCACACGGGACGAGAATGCCCATCTTTCACCCAAGGGACAGCAGGCAGACTTGGACAGACTGTCTCTGAGTTGGAAGTACAACTCTTTGCTCACAGTTCAAAGCTCTTAAAAACTCAAAGGCACATGGTTCAAATCCACTAGTTGGTCCACAGGAGAAAGATGGTCATTCTCCTCCTGTGGGATTTATTACTGCCTCTGAAAACCCGCCAGATGATCGGGTATGGGTCGATTCTGACTCGATGGTATGCAACAACATAAAACAACCATAAATGGATATATAGCAACAGAGGAACTACTGTAACAAAATAAAAAGGATAAAAGTTAGAATTAGAGTTAAATTTTAACTAGAGTGCTCCTCAACAAATATTGAGTTGATTTTGACTCACAGTAACCCTGCAGGACCGAGAACAACGGCACAGGGCTATGATGGTTATGAATCAATTCTCTCATCATTATTCAAAAGAGCAGCTGGAGGCTTTGAACTGACAATCTTCTGGTTAGCAGCCAGATTCTTTAGCCACATTGCCAGCAGAGCTCCTAAGTGTTTATTAAGTGCTCACCAATCACAGGGAACTTGCCAGATTTGAAGGTCACCTATTGAACACAACTATCCTCATTCTCACTCAGAGGGGTTTTGAGTTAAGTCTAATTAAATTTAGAATTCAACTTAATTAGAATTAAGTCTAATTCTAAGGTTTTATCCTTTTTATATTGTTACAGTATTTCCTCTGTTGCTATATATCTGTTTATGGTTTTATGTTGCTGTTTACCATGGCATCTCTAACTGGGCAGTTTTTGCCATAGCACAATCTCTTAGTGCTTCAATTTCCCCATCTGTAAAAGGGGACTACAATTTGCTCCCTGAGGGTAATGGGGAGATCTGGGGAAATTATGTCTGAACTTCACAGCATTGGACACAGTCTAGTGTAGCAACCAAAAAAACAGTTCCTTTCTGGATTAGCAAAAACATTATACTTGTAGTTCAGATTAAACGTAATTTATAAAGCTTCTCAGTTTTCACACTCAAAAGACTATTTATTAATCAAGCCCTATCACCATAGAAGGCTGTTCATTTTCAAAATTGTAACGTTTTTATGAAGATAATTAACATGGAGGTACATATTTAAATTCTATAGTATGTGACCTATTTCTAAGTATTTACTAATACATGGTATTTATTTCTCTTAAGTAAATCCAGCTGGAATCTTGAAATAAATGACAGAAAATAAGAAGAGATTATTTTTACCTCATATTTAATTGGTCCTTTTGGAATAATTAAAGCCTGCCCTAAAATAATCTTGTTGTTGTTGTTATGTGCCGTCAAGTCGTTTGTGACTCATAGTGACCCTACGTACAACAGCCCTAAACCCTGCTCTATCATGTGCCAATTGCATTGCCTCTGACACACCCATCCCGACTACCCCAGTCACTGAATCAATCCATCTCATAGAAGGTCATCCCCTCCTGCGCTGTCCCTCTACTCTACCCAGTATGATGTCCCT